CCCCCCCCCCCCCCCCTCCCTCTCTTAGAAAAAAATTATTAAGGCTCAATGGGAAAAATTAAACCATACTATATATATTGTGTTTTTTTAAATACATCTGTTTAATTGGTAAAATATTGTTTCCATGCAGAGCTAAGAGGATTGGATTTACAGACAGGTGTATTTACATATAGGCAAATCAAGGCCGCCACCGATAAGTTTGCTGATTCAAATAAACTTGGAGAGGGCGGTTTTGGATCAGTCTATAAGGTAACAATGTAAATGTGTTAAATTTAATTTTTAGCAATTCACATTGTGTAATCTACAAACTTCAACCCAAACTTGTTTAAAAAAATAAAAAGAGGAAATACAAGTAAAATCAAACTAAGGCATACCTTTTTTTATTGATTGTAGGGTACACTGTTAGATGGAACTCCAATTGCTGTGAAGCAACTCTCTTCCAAATCAAAGCAAGGAAACCGTGAATTTGTGAATGAAATAGGCATGATAGCTGGTATACAACACCCTAATGTTGTAAGGCTACATGGGTCTTGTGTGGAACGAAACCACCTAGTTCTTGTTTACGAGTACATGGAGAATAATTCTCTAGCACATGCTCTATTTGGTATTCTCCTTATCTTGTACTTCTTAACTTGTGTGTATGGTCGTAATTCGTAAATCTAAAATACGGTTTGATGATGACCAAAACCAACAATGTAAACAATTATAATGATGACAATGAAACATAGATATCTATAGTTTGAACATTTGCGAAAAAGAGAAATGTTACAAATTAAATCGGACATCTGGAAATAGAAATTGTGGCGTCATTAGATATACAAACAGATTCTCTCTTCATTCACATGTTCCTTGATAAAGATGCTTTTATAAAATCTCAGGGAAGGCTGAGTTGGAAATTGATTGGCCTACAAGACAAAGGATTTGTGTTGGCATTGCAAAAGGCTTGACATTCTTGCACGAGGAGTCGGTGCTCAAAATGGTTCATAGGGACATCAAGGCGACAAATATACTCCTGGATGCTGACCTCACTCCAAAAATCTCAGATTTTGGTTTGGCAAAGCTTGATGAAGAAGAAAACACTCACATTACCACAAGAGTTGCTGGAACTATGTGAGCAATACTCTCGTTGTTCCTTTTGATAATGATAATATTCTGTGTCTTTTTTCACTTCCAATACTCTTTCATTCAATTTGCTTTTGGTCCTCCAGAGGGTACATGGCACCAGAATATGCATTATGGGGATTCTTAACCTACAAAGCAGATGTATACAGTTTTGGGGTTCTTGCTCTGGAAATCATTGCTGGAAAGAGCAATATGAAATATCAGCCAAACGAAGATTGTTTTTGTCTTCTTGATCAAGTAAACCTCCTTTCTCTGAAACTACAATTTGATCCCCAACTCGTTGATTGTGTCTTATGATATATTTGTGTGTCCTTTCAAAGGCTGTTCTCCTGAAACAAAAGGGGAGGTTGATAGACTTGGTGGACCCAAGATTGGGTTCTGAATTCAACAAAAAGGAAGCAGTGGGGATGCTCAAAATTGCTCTATTATGCACTAATCAGTCCCCGGGTCTTAGGCCCACCATGTCTGAAGTAGTGAATATGCTTGAAGGTCATACAAAAATTAAGGAACCAAACGTGGATGTAATTATGTCTGAAGAGGAGTTACGGTTTCAAGAACTTGGAAAGACGTTTGAAGAGATGCAGTCTCATGACTCTGAACAAACAGAGATTTCAATTAAACCAACATCTTCCAACTCAAACGATCTCTATCCAGATAGTCAAATTTCTGAAAAGTGCTGACTTGTACTCTGGTAAGCACTATTCTTCTATATCCTTTTGTAATACAGTACTAAAGTTCTTAATACTAGACTTCAAAGAAGAATAAAGGTACTGAAAAATGCTCTGCAATATGTAAAATAAACTTGCTATTTCATGTAATATTTTTGTTGAACAAAATGATAAAGCAATATTACGTTGTTATACTAAATGGTTAGAAAACCATATGTTATGTGAATTGATAAACTGATTTATATTTGTTGCATGTAGCCCGAAAAATGTAAGCAAATATTAGTTTCAACATTTTGTTGGTGGGTTGAGGACTTAAAACAGAAAATTTGAAGTTGATACCAACATCAACACATACACTCTTTTGGTCATAATCGTCCAATGAGATTACATATAAGTATCAAAATAATAAATAATAACATAATAGCAACGTACTTGCATTTGATAATAGCAATATATAACCAGAATTATTATGCCAAAATCAGAAAAATAATAGTTAAAATTAAAATTATAACTCGACTTCATCTAAATAGCAAAAAGAAAAACCTAAAAATCTCCTCCATGATCTGGACATACTTTCAAACCAACTAAATGTAGTACTTTCATTTAGTTGTTTATTATAGCATCTTACTTTCACATTGCTCTATTACAAAGTAGTCTTATCAAATCGTTTTCTTATCAAGACATTTTATTTTGTAAAATCCATCCAATTATAGCATTGTCCCTACAATTACTTTATTTTGACGTTGTTCTCAGAATAAGAGTAGATATAAGTATGATGCTATAATTAACACATAACTGAAAGTATGTTGTTATATATTGCGTTTAATCCTTTTCCATTATAGTAAGTTGTAACCTTTTACAAAAGGTTACTGGCCTCAAGTCCTCAACAATTTTGGTGGTTGGACAACTTCTTTTGGTTCCCCTTTTAAAAAAAAAAAATCACTATTATGTAATCATATTAAGTTCACTAAATGAAAAAACTACAAATTTTGACAAATAAAGTCTGGCATTGCATAAGCCGTAAGGGGTAAAAACTGAAATTTCCTACAAAAGAAAAAGCAAAAACGGTTTTTCCAAATGTTATGTTATTTGTCAACCTATTGATACTCCATTTCAAATTTCAAATTTTAAATTCTCCACTCTAATTACATTAAATTAATAATATTAGAATAAAAATTAAAATAAAATTAATATAGATTATAAGGTAATATAGTTTTACGTATTTATTTAAATCAACGATTACAATTTTATATAATTAAAAAAATATTTCTTAATTAATAATTTATTTAAAATAATTAATTAATAATTTTGAGTTTTTACTAAGAAAGTTTAATTAATTTTGAGTTTTTATATATATATATATATATATATATATATATATATATATATATATATATTATATAGAGAGAGAGAGAGAGAGAGAGAATATGAAGTTATAGGGTGTGGTCTTGCTTAACATTATGGATCTTTTTCCCGCTATAATACAGAAATAATTTATGAATTTTTTTATATAAGTTATTAAATACTTTTTTATTTAAGTCAATAAGTTTTTTTTAAAAAAGTTTATCCAAACATTTAAAATAACTTATTACTGATGTCAAACCATAATAACTCAATAAACATTTTAAACAAGCAATCCCAAACACCCCTCAAATGGTTGATAGCTTGATTCTAACAATACTCATTTAATTTTTGTATGCTGTGGTGTCAATCCGTTAAAATACTAAATTATATCATTAATTTGTTGGGTTTTCATATCAGTACCAATATTACAATTAATGGTAGTTTAATTGGGGATTAGTAATACTTTTGCAGAGTCTCAACAAGTTCCATCGCATATCAAAACCATTCAAAAAAAAAATCTTTTAACCACAGGACATCCCAAAATTGAAGTTTATGAGGTTATATGATTGATAATATAAACTTCTCGAACTACATCGTTACAGTGCTTTTTGGTTTTATCTTAATTACTACCAAATCCTTTATAACACGAAACATGTACAAAAGTGTGACAAAATGGAAACACACCAAATGCATGAAGGTTTTCAACTTTCCTTCACCTAGTGGAATACCAATTGGCTACAATATATATATATATATATATATATATATATATATATATATATACCATGCAAGATATCAGTTATATCTGCATAAAACAAAAGTGAAAACCCAAATCATTTACCAGTGTTCCATCAAAGAATGGACAGTGTTGGTGTTCGCATACTGTGGTCTGTTGCAATTACTTTGCTATTGGTTTCATGGAAGCCGATGGTGTTTGCAGTTCCATCATGTGGACGTGTCACATCCAAATTGACATCTTGCTTGAGTTTCATAAATGGTCATGAGCCAACGAATTCTTGTTGTTCATCAGTCAAGGGTTTGACAGCTATGGGGAAAACCAAGAATGATCGTGTGGCTATCTGCAACTGTGTGAAACAAGTCATGAAAAGATTGAACAATTATGATCCAAAACGAATCACTCTTCTTCCTAAAAAATGCCATGTTGGTTTGAAGTTTCCTCCCATCAATCAGGACTACGACTGCAAAAAGTAGTTTTAATTCTGGCTCTTTCTTGTTCATTGTTAATTGTTGATGTGTAAATACTAAAGCTTGTGTTATTTTCAGGGTGGAAGTAGACATGCTGATGTGGCGTGAGCAAGGACTATAGGAATAACATGAACCAATGTACTTGGTAACTTATGACTGTATTTGAATAAATGTTTATGTATCTTGGAATAATACCATTGCTTCTTTATATACATATGATGTAAAGCTAGTTATAATGCTAGTTATTGTAAAGATAGAATGCAATATTCTTATTACATAATATTTTAATAGCAGTCTACTTGTTTTTTTTTAAATGATGTTTTTGTTGAAGACTATTAAACGATTTAGATTTACAAGAATGATATGTTTTCAGTAGTATGTAACAACCTACATTTTAAGGTACTTGGATTTGATAAATTCATTCAATATGATAAAATAAATGGGTTAGAGTTTGATTTAGTCTGGATAATGGTGTGTGACGACAAATGATACCATCAAAAAGAGCGAAATAAACTTGCCTTTAGCATCCAAGTCACTTTAAGGGGATATAATGGTGGAGCTATATGTGGGGGGTTGGGATAGCATCCACCATTTTCTTTTCTTTTGCTTTTTGTATATAAAAAAAAGTTATTTGTCATTGTATCTGTAGCTAAATGGATAGTATTATGTTTAATGATAACATTATATTTCTTTTGCCATTTATTAAAACTAAAACCAATTAAACGTTGTAAACCCAATGAAGACTTGGTGGATTCAATTGTAACATTTGTTTAAATTATGTTTTTGTGATTTACGACTTTAAATATTAAACAACTCAAATATTATTTTGAATTTTTACAATGTTTGTATTCCCATATTAAAATTTTTGGCTCCACCACCGGATATATAATCCTTACTTTTATTTGAAATTTTGATGGCCTAATATGGCTAAGAGGTTAACAAGTGATTTCATTTCGTAGGTTTAGCATCCAAGTCACTTTTAGGAATAATACAAATGCTTCTTTATATACATATGCTACTTGAAGTAATTTGTTCCACTAGTTACCTAGAGAAAACTTTGTATTGGTCTAATTTTTGGTGGTACGGATTCGAAACAAATCTAGTAGTCACATGGTTTTTTACACTCTTTTCGAGGAATTGAGGGGTTTTCCATGAAAAATTCTGGTGTCTCATACTAGCTACTTAATTACCTACTATCTTGGATGATTATATTGGTCATATAAATTGCATTAAAAATGAACACAACAAGAAGCGAAGTGATGAAGATGATAGAAAGCAACTCCCACTCCATTTGCTAACTGAAATAACAAGGTAACTCACTCTACATGTTACATGTACATACATGAATAACGTGCTATATAAAATTGGAGAAAGATAGTTACAAAACCTAGATTACATTCATTCCTTCCATACTTCTGACACTAGACTAGAATGCTAAAAACACGTATCTATCATCATATTCCATACTATACTCCAAGATAAGATAAGAGATAAGGAGAAAGTTGAGTTTACCTGAAGGTAACAATTGTTGTGGCATGACTCTCAAAATCAGGCTGTGGTGGCTTGGGTGGCAGAATTAGGTGCCAATTAGGTTTTGACAGGTGGGCATGATCATAATCATATTTATATGTAGGATGATTATTGGGCTTCAACATGCGTAAGGCATTGGAGTGAAATCTAGCAGCATAGATGGAGGCACCAAGGCTGAGGGTGGAGGTTTCCCTGACAAAGGCATCATGCATTCTACTATCCTCCAATGCTTTAGCTATTTCCTGCTTCCTTCTCCAGTGTCTACGCCATGCCGACTGTATGTAGCATGCTGCCCATGTTCTCCACTGCTGTGAGTAGAATCTGAAAAACAAGTCAACACATTAATTATGCATTCAAAGGTGAAAGAGAAATAAATCAACATTAATGTTTATGGAATTTGGAAAGTTACCTAAAAGTATGTTGGACAAGTCTGCTGTGGAGAGATTTAAACTGGGAAGCCACAAACATGAGATCATCAACTGCTAGAGCAAAAGCTTCAACATCTGTAAGTGCTTGGACAGTTCTAGTTGAGAAAGGGAGTGTTGGAGTTGCAGGAGCCAAAGCCCATGTCAGAAGCTCTTCTCCACAGAAATCACCAGGCTTGAGGAGACTCCTGTTAAAGAAGCCATCCCTTCCACCATTAGTTGTTACACTTTCTAGGGCTCCACGTGTGATGAAGAGCATTTCAGGTACTGGATCTCCCTCTCGGAGTATGTAGCTATTCTCTGTGTAGAGAACTGGCTTCAATCGGTCACACATCGCATCCATCATATGTTCATCCATTGCTTCAAACATAGGTACCTGCGTACATTCAGGGATCAAAAATTATCTATACTCGGGGACCAAAAATGTAATTTATGCTAATAAATATTTTTAGTTAAGAAATATGACTGACTCTCATGAGTGAAGACAAGCAAAGATGACGTTTTATGTCCCTCCTCAAATCCCGAGGAAGGTCTTTGACAAAGGAATCTAACTCAACACCCTTAGTTTTCTTCCATTTGTAATGCTTGTGTTTTCTCACTCGGTCCCTTAAACTTTCAGGGAGGGAAATATGTGACATTAGATCCTCCGCTTCTCGCCTTTTTTCCTTCATCTCCTCCACTCTAAGAGTCAGGTTTGAGAAAGACTGCAAGTATTTCTGTAACAACCATTATATTAATTAGCTCATAAATTATAAATACAATGTGGAAACGTATTTAATTTAGTGATTACAATATACGAATTGAACCTGCATGTTGCCAATAAGCAAAGCGAATAGAACAAGCCCAATTATGGCAATGAAGTCTGCAAATAGAATCTCACCATAGAAAGTGCTTGCTTTAAGGCCTTGACCAAGTGAACTGGATCACAAAAGAAAAAAAAAATATTACAAAAAAAAAAAAAAGGCTCTATTGCTTATGTGTTGTAAGTTTGTTATCTCATTTAGATGAAGTGATTACTAACCTTAGACTCTGCAAGCCCCACCATGAACAATACAAGAATTTTTGAGGGAAGTCTCTAGTTTCCAACACACGAGTTTGAAGAGCATCAAGGAATATTCCAAAATCAAAGTTTGTTGAACCTTTAATTTCATTTCGCTCAAGAAGAGGGCATGAACTGTTCAAAAACCCAAAATCTCCAACACGCCCTTCTCCACAGTATAAATACTTGGAGTAACACTTATTCCTTTCACATGCAATATTCCAACATCTCATTTCACTTTCTATTGCAAACAAGTACCACAGGGCTCCAACTACCTGTTTGCAAAACAAATCATTCTTAGTTCTTAGCAAAATACATTTATATACTTTTTCTGTAATATTGTTAATAATACTTACATGGCTAGCTAGCACATAGAGGAAAAAGTTAAAAGCAGCTCCAGCCCATGCTTTTTCAGTGAGGAAGCCAGAAATTTTCGTCACCTTTTTATAGAATAAAGAAATCCGAATAACTCGAGGGACATATTGAGAGAAAATAACGAGCTTCAAAATTCTCAGTCAAAAACGGAGTAGGGCCATCTAAGTTTGGGATAATTACCAAAATTGCCAACTGCACAAACAATCTTTAATTCAAGTTCATACTTCATATATAAATAGACTAAAGTTATATTCATTAAGGCAAAGATTTTAATCCAGACATACCTGTGGAAGTGGAAGGGCTGCTAGCACATCAATGATGAAGTAGGATGTAAGGTAACGTTTTGCCACATAATGAGGTTCATCTATAAATACTCTCTTTCCAAGTATGTGATTATAACGAGGAACATATGCAGTTCGAAATTGGATAATAATGTGAAATACAAATAACATATCCGCAAAAGAACGAAGAACACATACAATTATCTCCAACTTGTGGTCAACATCAAGGCATTTTTTTGTGCCATCAATTATAGGAATATAGAAAAATAATGGATCCAATGACAATGCTATAACAGAACATAGTAAAAAGGTCTTGTTCCATTGCAGAATAAATCGCCCTTCTGGATCAAAAAACTTCATCAAAAGTTGAGCCTGTTATTAACCCTTCTGATGTCCCCCTGTTTAACAAAGTATTTTGGTAAATAATGAAGTTGATGCCTAATTAATATCTCATGATTGTTATGTAATGACTCAATAATGAAGTTGACTTGACTTGGTGGTTTAATGGTCAAACCCTAATTTAATAACCTATCAAAAGTTCAAAACCCACGAGTACTTTTGTCAACAACCAAAAAGGAGCACAATGAAGGGCGACAATCAGTAACTTAAGTGTTGAAGTCCATTATTCAGTTCTCTTGCCTAAAACCCAAATTAATAAGAATGATTAAAACCCAAATTAAATTACCTGGTAGGAAATCCTTTATTACGCCTGCGCCTCCAAGATTCTTCCAATAATTCTCGAGAAACGCTGACTTTTCCTCAAATATTCTCATATAACAAACACACAACAGTTATAGACAAAAAAATAACATCGAATCAAAAGAAAGGAACAGACATAAAGTAAACTGAGAAAGAGACAGATTGTGGTGGTGAAGCGTTAAGTGGGAAGCTTCCTGTAAAGTAAACGGAAGCATCGTCCTCCTCTAATGAATCCAAATTTTGACTTACCTTCTTCAAACAGGTGCAGTTGCCGGTTGGCCTCTGTTTCTCCACAAAAGATTACACAACGATCCTGATATGGACCACAAAATAACAAAATAAACGATCCTGATATGAAATTAATAAAATTGAAAATTATAAAAACAAATTATGTAATGAACGAAAACTCAATTTTAATTTGTGAGGTAATCTTTTCGGAATTTGTATATAGAATGAGATTTAAAAATATCTAACAATCCACATATCATAATGACAATTATATCAAGTGAACCCAAAAATATTAAAATAAAGTTTCGATCAAAAAATTATGTAAGTGTATTTTAGGAATTTATAAAAACGAAAACTATAAAAAAGTTATATAAAGGATTATAAATATAACTTTAAAATATAGTAAATGACCCAAATCGTAACTTATAAAATACCAATACTTTAACTTTAAAAGTATGAATGACGAAAAGTATTAACTCAAAATTACTTAAGGAAAAAAACTATAAATATGAAAATCTGTTATGGTGGAAACAAAATCTATGTTCGAGTTAAATGTTTATTTTACTCTTGTATTATATGACTAGTTTATAACCCGTGAAAACCACAGTTACAAAATTAATTAAACTTTTATAGTATAAAAATTCAAAATTATTAATTAATTATTTTAAATAAATTATTAATTAAGAGATTTTTTTTAGTTATATAAAATTATAATCATTGATTTAAATAAATATATTGAAATTATATCACTTTATAATTTATATTAATTTTATTTTAATTTTTATTCCAATGTTATTAATTTAATGTAATTAGAGTAGAAAATTTAAAATTTAAAATTTGAAATGGAGAATTAATAGGTTGACAAGTGGCATGCATTAATTAGGAAACATAATATGGTGACACATGACAAAAGAAGAATAAAATATGCATTAATTAGGAGGCCTAATAGGATGACACATGTCAAAATGAGAATAAAACTATTTTTTATTAGAATAGGGATGTGTGAAATTCAATGGATAAAAATGTCAATTAGCTTTAACTTGATCTAAGGACTAAAATCCTATAAATTTTATGGAGAAGGGGTTAGTTTGAATCATAGAGTATTGACAAACCTTCTAGTCCAACTAAGGGTTCATTTGAGAGAACAGGATAACGAGGGACCTTAGTTACTAAATCCCTCAAAATTTTAGAATGACTAGCATCTTCCATTTCAATCTCTTAATCACTTATGAAATTGTCATTTTGATCTCTCCACTCTTCTCGTGATCGATCTAAGCATTGAGGGAGAGTAAGATTCTTAATCTCCCTCAATGCTTAGATCAATCACGAGAAAAGCTTAGATTAATCATGAGAAGAGTGGGGAGATCAAAATGGCAATTTCATAAGTGATTAAGAGATTGAAATGGAATCAAAATGTTTTTAAAGGAATTGAAGTTATGTTTTCATCACTAAAATATCTCAAGGTATAATATTTCTCCATCTCAACCTCTAGATCCTTTAGGTCGTACAAGGTGTTTGGATCTATATCCAAATTTGAAGTTTATGTGAAATTATGTATTGAAATCGATTTTCTAGCTGAATATAACCTTTAGTTCATGAATCTAAGTTCTAATTTCCTCTTTGTTGATTGTTTGATGTGATGAATTATTAGGTTAAAGCCATAAACCCTAGTTTTGGTAGACAAATTTGAAATTATGACAAACCTAACATTTGAATTATTAGTAATTGTATTAAAATTTGAAATTATAAATGCTATGCATATACATGTACCTATATTTAAAGCAATGGATGAACATATGATGGATGATATGTGTGATCTTTGAAGCTAGTTCTTTACCCACATAATAGCTACATACTCCGAGAGGGAGATCTAGTACATGAAATGCTCATCACTACACATGGCACGGTACAAAGTATAACAACTAATGGTGGAAGGACTAGTTTCTTTAACTCGGATCACTTTAGGGTCGGTGAATTGTGTGAAGAAGAGCTTCTCACATGGGCTTTGGCCACTACAACTAACTATGCCGACATGAGTGAGAAATATGAAGAGGTCGATTATTGAAATGACGGTGGTCGGGAAGTTACTGGGCTATTGATTTTCTAGAATTTTCTCTAAGTGTGTGTGTTTGGGTGTGTGTGAGAGAGATTTGGGATAACAATATGATTAATGTAAAATGATAGTAAGGTGGTAGGTAGGTCAGGTTTATTATTATTTTTTCAATTAAAATTAGTGTAAGAAAATATAAAAATAAAAAAGATATAGTAGATATTTTACCTGGGTAATTGAACGATCATGCAAAAAGTAAAAAAAATAAAAATAATAAAAAAAAATAAAAAAATAGTTGTCATCACCATGGTAGTTTTCACAAACCAGGGTCAATTGTGTAATTTTGTCCATCTTATATCACAGTTATTCACTACAACCACATTTGAAGTTTGTTTATATATTTAAAAAAAATGGCAATTATAGTCGCTAAATGGGCTCGCAAAGTTGCAATTGGACCTTACCCACACATATTTTTTTTCCCTTTTTTCTTGACTCAATTCCTTGCAAGTTAATTAATATGGGTTAATGTCATAAAAACCTTCAAGTTTATAGGGTTTTGTCGGTTTTGCCCAAAATTGAAATTTATGTCCGTTTTTACCCAAACATTTTCGAAAAAATGTTCGATTTTACCCTTTTACCGGTGATAACAGGTTTTCCAGGTTACCATTATATTAAATTCGCAAAAAAACTCTTAAGTTTACCATTTTTTTTGCGTTTTTACCCTTAAGTTTATAATTTTTTTTACACTTTTACCCTAAGTATATTTTTTTCATAATATACATATGGGCTAATGTCATAAAAACCCTCAAGTTTTCAAGGTTTTGTCGGTTTTGCCCAAAGTTGAATTTTATG